TGCAATCAGATCTGATAAGATCTCTTTACCTATGCAGGTGCGCAGACCCTTGGAGAAGGGCAGAAAGCTATAGGAATGCCGGCGTGTCGGGGTGTACTTGGACTGGCCGTGCAGCACTTGCTCCTGCTCCAGTTCCTCCTCCTTCTGCAGCAGCTCCTGCTGCTGTTGCAGAAAGCGCTGTGGCTCGAACTGGGTCGCCCTCTCGCCCCACCAGGCGGTGTCACGCTGCATGCTGAACGTGTCCAGCACAATGATCGTGTTCTGCGGCACGATGGCATCGCGGCCCGCCAGCTGAAAGTCACGACTCACGTGCCGCAGATTCATCGGCACCGTCGCCAGCAGACGCAGCGCCTCGTTCACAAATGCATCCAGGTAGCGCAGCTGCTGCAGGTGCTCCACGCTCACGTAGCTGACGTCGTTGCCATGCGGCATCACGCTCTCGATCTCCGCACGCAGGCGCTGCTGGCAGTCGCCCTTGTGCGTGGCCAGGCAGAGCAGCGCGATCATAATGCTATTGGAGACGGTCTCAAAGGACTGCAAGGAGAAGAAAGAGAGCAGAGCGAGCATAAGAAAGAGAGAGAGAGAAAGAGATAAAGATCTAAATAATGAAAGAGATTTAAGATACAACTTTATAAATTTAAAGCTTTCGATTTCGTATACCCTATATTGATATATAATATTAAAGTATGTATAGAAGACGAAATAGTACACAGATAAGAAGGAGATGGAGAAGGAGGGGAACGATAGAGAGTCGGATAAAGATGGAGAGAAACATATATAGAGAAGGTGAGAGACAGATACACCAAAAAGGGAGAGAGAGAGAAAGAAGGTGCAACTGAAAGAGAGAAAGGGAGTTATATGTGCATACATGAACATTTAGATGAAGAGAAAGAGAGAGAGAGAGAGAGACAGAGAGAGAGAGAGAAGAAGGTTTTATAAATACGAAAAAATTATTATAGTAAAAGAGTGAAAAACAGACAGAAATATAAATAGATATTGGTGATGGATCAGCATGAGAATGAAAATTTGAGCCATAAGCTGAGATACCCAATTTGTTCTATACAGGGTATATTCTATTCTACACTACATGCAAAATATGAAATAAATTAATATAAAACAAGAATATTTATACTTTGTGAGGTCGAAAATACAGATAGTATTAGAAGATGGTCCAACTCGAGCTCAGCTCAGATTGGATCTATGCGTGTTTGGGCATGCAATTTGTTTTAAATTGAAAACTAGATTTTGGAATTGCCAATTAGTGGTAATTAGTGGTAGGCAAACATGATCGCATAGCAACTGAATAGATAAGCTGCAGTTCGCTGAAATCGCCATTCATAATTCTTCGTTAGCAGAGCAGGAATTGGGGCGGGGTTACGGTATTCGGGCTTTGGGTTTCGGGTCCATCAATTCATAAGCGAAAACCTTAATGGGACTCGTTAACGCCGGCCACTTACCACCAGGACCATGGACTGGGCCTCATCCTCGATGTCCTGCAGGGTGAGCTCACCGTTGGCGGCCAGCTGAAACATTTGCTCGATGAAGATGCGACGCTGCCAGGGCGCATCCTCCCCGTTGTCGAGGGCGTTGCGTAGCTGCCAATTGCGATGCTTGCGCTGCACGATTTCTGCCACAAAGTCGACGAGCAGCTGGTTGCATGCCGCGGCCTCCGCGTACAGCTGCGGCTCCAAAAGCCGATGCAGTAAATCGATTTGCAGCCAGGGCTTGACAATTTTAATAGCCGAGATTTCAAGTAGCCTATTAAAAGGAGGGCCGCAGGGAGAGTGAGAAAGAGAGACAGAGAGAGAGAGAGAGAAATTAGTGTGAGCTGATTGAGCTGCTGGCACTGGCGGCCTCGCTCACCTTTTGTAGGTGGTGGCGATGTGTGCATCATCCGCCTGCGTGAAATTCGTCGGCGTTCCCATAATGGTGACTGCAATAAAAGTTAACGAGGTGTTAAGCCACAGACAGAGACAGCGATAGCAGGAGACGGAGAGAGAGAGTGAGTGAGTGAGTGAGTGAGAGGGAGGCGGCGACAGCATGTGTGACATTCAAATATTTCCAGGTGACAGCAGCCAAGGCATAAGCCATAATTCGTGCTCAGCCTTTGAGCTCCTTTTGCTCAGCTCAGCTGCCAATCTGGCTGCCTGTTTGCCCTCCCCCCTCCCTAGCCAGCTGCTAATGGGCAGCGCTAACTGTTTTAGCCCAGCAAATTCTCAATTCTCATGTAATTGCATTTGGCCTTCAAATTGCTGCCGAGGCGCCAAAGCCTCGCGGCTAGAGGTGTCCCAGCTAACGGTATTTGCTAATGGAATATGTCACTTCAAATAGCTGGCAAAGGATCAAAGCGAATTATTGTGGCGCCAAGCCGTTGCCAAGCCACAACAATTTTACATTTGCTCACTGAATTTCTGCTCATAATTGCGAAAAAAAAAAACTGAGCTAAATGAATAATCTATCAAAGCTGTTCAGACTTAAACTTATGAAATGTGAATTTACTGGGCTTAGTTGACAGTTAGTTGACTACAAATTGAGTTACAATAGGCTAGGTCTATGTCTTCTCAGAGATCTAGAGAGATGACAAAAACCAACACCAAGTAACTTCCAGGCTACCCAGATAACTCTTAGAGATACTGAGGAATTTTGGAGCCTGACTAGTGTACTCTTACCTACATTACAGGGTGTCTTTGAAATGGGCCTAGCTACTTTTACTTTTTATAGGGTATGCCTAAATCCTTCTATGACACTCTAACTATTTATAGGATATCGTCGTTCTACTCACCCTTATGTGATATACAGAGTATTTTCTAGTTATTCTATAGTAAAGTTTGTTATTATAGACTATCTCATTTTCGAGCTAAAACATTTATATTATTATACGATATCTTCCAATCGCTCTGGACTACATTCTTGGCATCTCATATTCGAGCTAAAAACACTCTACAGGATATCTTCCAGTCGATCTAGAAGTCTGTTTCTTATTATAGGATATCCCAGCTCAACGCAATATAAATATTCACTCGAATCTGTTGTTTATTATAGAGTATAGATATATGCCACTTCTACTTCTCACCTACTTGTTGTAGGATAGCTCACAGTATAACTAAGGCTATTTCATAGACTAGTTACACTTACTATAAAATATTTCAGTATAGTCTTTCTTTCTTTCTCTGTACTCGCACTCTTTTAATATAATATGTTTAAGCTTTCTTGCTTTTTATAGGGTGTTTCGTAGTCAAGCTACAGTACTCTTATATGCGACGTCTTATAGACCAAATAGAATAAACTGACAAATCGTGGCGACGTCTACAACCGACTAGAGTAATTTAGATTCGTATAGGGTATCTCCAAAGCAGACTAGATTACTTTCACTTTGCATAGGGTAGAATGCTTTGCCTCACTGAAGTGTATCGTTAATTAGCGCCCCCAGTAGTTAGACCTCACATATAGGGTATCAGTAAGATAAACTATCTATATTTTATAATTATATATTTATAAGGATGTTAGCTATAATCGAGCAAGGTAGCTGGTTCCTCTATAGGGTATCTCTTGACAAACTGCAACACCTTAACCAATCATCAGATATCTCCCCACAAAAGACCTCCCCACTGATAGGGTATACATCCAAACACCCCATCGAAGTGAGCATTTGGAAATCTCTTATGCCGAATGCATACCGAATCATAGCAGATTTTCGTGCTAATGCAGACGCATTCAACGGCCAATCGACTGGTTTCTGCATAAGGCTAATCATAATTTATCGGCATATCGATGCCCCGGCACGCCCCCGCAGCGCTTCTTGCTTGCAGCTAAGACTCGCTGCTGACCCTCGAGTCTATGTGGCTCTGTCTCAATGGGTTCCGCGTACGTGCGTTGCATGGAAACTGGACAAACGTGTCGCAGTCGCCGTCGCCGTCGTCGTTGTTGTCGCCATCAACACTCGGAATGTTTTTACTTTTACTAACTGCGCTGGGGATTGGGCTAAGCGATTCGTGTTCATGCATGTGCGTGCGTGTGCGTGTGCGTGTGCTACTCACGGCAGGATACCTCCAAAACGGCGCGACTGAGCATATCCTCGGCATCCTTGAACCGCACCGCCGAGCCGTGCAGATGCGGCTGTGTGGCAAACTGTTCCAACAGCTGATTGCCCACCGAGTTGAACACATCGAAGAAGCTGATGACAATATTATGATTGAAGGCGGGATTCAGCTGCTTGCGGCGCAGCTTCCACTTCTGACCTGCAGCCAAAGGGAAACCACATGAAAATGGCAAATGGCGGAGGAGGAGGGGGAGGAGGAGGAGGAGTTCCTCCTGTTGCTTACCTCGCGCATGCAGCAGGCCACGTCGCGCAAAGAAACCCTCCTGCATGAAGGTCTTGTCCAGACACTCGGGCGCATTCAAGACGCACTCCATGCCCGCCGGATCGTCAATGTAGAGCAGCGCGCGTGTGCCAATCAGGATGGCCAGCGGTCGCTGGAAGAGCACACGCAGACGCGTCACCTTGTCCAGAATGCCTGAAAGAGAGAGAGAGAGAGAGAGAGGGAGAGAGGGAGAGAGGGAGAGAGAGAAAGAGAGGGAGAGACAGTTGGGTCTATCAGTCCGCTTTGGATCTGTGGTCAAGCTACTCAACTGTTTGGATGCAAATTGATGCAGATCAGAAACCAGAGCACCGGCTGCTGTGCCACGCCCCGCCAGCCGTTCAGCTGCCAAATGAGGCGCCAGCATTTGCGTTGCTGCCAGCCCAAAAGCAGCGCCAGAAGCGTGCCACAGACCCATAGAGCGACATGTAAATGCATTGTTGTTGTTGTTGTAGTTGCTGTTGTTGCTGTTCTCTAATGCGGTGCTTTATAGGCAGCGCACAGCGTTTCACTTTGGTTCGGAACCCAACTCCCGACTCCGATTCCGGTTTTAATATTTGATTTTTGATTGTTTTGATATTTTGTTTTCTTGTTCGATCCGTTCGCTTGGCCAGCGCAAACGCAACTAAACAAAAATTCGCTTGATCGAGCATGGCCCAATAGACAATAAAGAAATTCAATTTTGTTTTTCTAGCTTATTATTAATTTTTTTTTTTTTAATTACCTTTCAATGCACATTTGGCTACCGCTTAGCTTGCGCACTCCCACTCCGGCTATAAGAGGCGGGTATGCTCGACTAGCGGACATGTTGGACTTGTAGACATTATTAAAACTATGTCAATTAGGATTATATGATAGCCTGGGTAAGTGGATCTTTGTAAAGCCAAAAATATTAAATTGAGAATTAATATCAATATTGAACGAGGCGGAAATATTTCAAGCATATTTAAACACAAAATGCTTATAAAGTCTATTTATTGCGAATGCTGAATCTATCTGTTCTCCGGTCCCAATTTTCCCAATGTTCATCATCATCAGCAGCAGATACCCCAAGGAACCCGGTAGCCCTTTAATATATAGGAATAAACTTTGGTATATAAGCTTATCTATGACAAATCTCTAGATTCTAAAAGTTGCATAGCAATTGCAAAAGGCAGACAAAAGTTACAGAAAAAAATTATACTCAAAAATATTTTTAACGATAACGAAATAATACTTTTCTTAGTCTTCATCCAATCCAGCTACAGGGTATCTCCATGTTCACCTATCCCCTACGATTTGTTTTCATTAAATTTCGCCCATATTTTTATCCATATACACGTAAATATCGATATTATTTGGGCAACGCTACGTGGACTTTGTGTTGTCGACTTGAGGCGTAGTAAATACATATTTTCAGCTGTAATTGGTTCGGTTCGTTAGCCAGAGTTGCCAATGGATATAGATGGATGTGTGCACGCAGACAGCGAAATAGCTTGGCAACAATGCCAACAGTTGACAGAGACGTCACATATATATGTATAGAGGTACATCAATTTACATACATATACATTACATTCCAGATCGACCTGTAAATAATTTGAGTTTGTCTCTCGCATTTGTTAGGCACGTAACGTGACGTAGCTGTTCCCAGTCATTTAGCCGAATATTAACAGATTCTTAAGAGCTTTTGGAAGCTAGGGATTACTGTAAATAGGAAGTGTGTGCCATATGAGATCATATTCCATTACAGTTAGAGGTAAGTCAATGAGATTTAATCTATTTGTAGAATTTAACAATCAGCAGGACCTTTCAATGCTTTAGCCTAACCTTTGCTCTATTAACCTTCATCCAACACCAACAGAATTTCAGGCACACTCAATTCTCTTCCTCTTCCCATTTATCCCTTTCGTGCAACTCTTTACTGGAGCTCCACCCATCCATAGAGAAGTTCAACAGCTTGATAAAACAGCGTGTCAAAGTCAATGTCAACTGCAAGGTGAAGCTCAAATGGCGATAGAAATAGCTGCAGGTATTCATTATAGCATTAATAAAGAAATAGCTGTCGAGCGATTTTTTCTGCTCTCGAGAATTTTATTAAAATTCCTGCGACAAAAGGAAACAGGAAAAAATTATGGACCGCAAAGAGGCAACGGAATGTCAAAGTCGCATTCATTGACGAAAACAAAAGGCACGAAGCCACAATAGAAACGAGGAACATTAACGCCATTGATGAGATGACGAGAGACCGCACATAGCGAAAGGCGGCGTCGATTGGCCAATTGACCGACTGCCAAATACCTTGTAATAACATAAGCCAAGTTTTGCTTTGGCTGTTGATATTTATTTTCTGTTGCGTAGATATAGTATGAGCATCAAAATCTATCAAGAAAAAACTCGTAGTCTCCATCATCGATATTTATCGATATTATGGGTATTTTAATGGGCATCTCTTAGCATGGCTGTAGCAATTGGCCTTTCTTAGCTGTAAGTCTTCTCTTGTGGTGATATATGAGCTAAGCAAGTCGATGATGCTTGACAAGCCCGCACCTAAACGAAAACTAATACAGCTTAACGCATTTCTTTTTTCGAGGGTATGGAGACAAAAAAAAATATATGGGGAGCTGGATGCATAAAGAATTTCTTGATTAAGTTATGGGGAATGTCAAGCACGATGGCTATACAGACGTCATGAATGACGCTCGCGCCTCTCTTCAGCTGCCTCAGCCTCACTCACTCGCCCTCTCACTCTCAACCACGCTCACTCTATGTATGTGTGTCGTATGGCGTTGATCTATCTCTCTTTCGCGCCTTTATTGCGTGGCTGTGTGCGTGTGTGTGTGTGTGTGTGTGCGTGTGTGGGCGTGGGTCAAGTCAATAAAGCATACTGATTAATGTCAAATTGTTGTTGTGTCTCTTTTTGCATAAATTATGCATAAATCGCCAACATTCGCCAGCCGTTGTCCTTTAGAGCACAAATGCCAATGCCAATGACAATGGCAATGACAATGACGGCGACGATGTTATGTCCTTGTGTATATACCATCGTGTATGTACCGTATCCCCTGCCCCCTGTCTTCCGCTTCCGCTTCCGCTTCCACTTCCACTTCCCCTTCGTCTTCATCTTCGGGTAGCCCGACCCCAAACCCAAACCCAAACCCAAGCCCCAATCCAGGCCCAGGCCCAGTTCCGGTTCAGTCACCGCCTCCATCTCAGTTGATGGCACCAGCAACAGCATTTAAGCTGTTTTAAGTCGCTTAACACACACTGCAAATAAAGAAATCAATTGCGAGCCGCGCATCGGCTCACAAATACCCTGTAAAATAAAAAAAAAAATTATGAAATTTGTTTTTGATAATATTATATTTTA